TTTTAATCTAATAATATCAAAAACTAAAATGCAATAAAAATCTCAATTTTGTTAAAAAATTCCCAGAACCTGATTTTTCTAGCAATCAACCCATATGGTAATTTATTTAGTAATTTCATTATATTCAGTATAATTTATTACAAAAAAATCGATTCTATAAAACCTAGTTCAGTATACCAAATTTTTAGTATAATCAGATTTGTTATATCTAATAATGACTGTATTATTTTTTCAATTTTTTAAATAACTTATTATTTAATAATTATAAAAATATAAAAAAAAAATATATATATAACTTTTTCCAGCGATTACTCACCAAAAATTTTTATATAAAAAATATGTATATTTAAGAGCAGTCATAGTTTAGCTTGCAAGCAAAAAATAAAATCCCTTTTTAAACTTCTTTTTCTCTTTATTCTCGCTATAAATACCTGCTGAAACCTTCTCAAAATAATTTCATTATACCTTTTCTATATTTTTAATATAATTTTGACAGTTTTAGCTTTTGTCATATCTAATAGTTTTTGTCGTATCCCTTATTATGATTTTAATATAATTTCATTTAAGTTTTGACTGTTATTAAAAGGTTTTATCTCTCATCTATAATTCTCGCCAAACCTTCTTATTCTAAAAAACAGTTTTTGTTAGTTCAAATGATAATGTTTTTTGTTAAAATATTTTTGCCACTTTTCATAGCTGTTTTTTCTGTTTTTTCTTCTTTTTTTTTACTTACAAAAATGAGTATCAGGGTAGAATTCTGAAACTAATTCACATAAATTTATATATTTAACTTGTATAATTGTGTATAATTGTAAATTTTAGTTATATATAATAAATAAGTATTTTAAATTAAAGGTATGTAGGATAATTTTGACTTAAAATTTGACTTAATTTGACTCATTAGAAACACTACATCAGGTACTATTCCAACTAATGATCAGGATCAATAATAACTTTAGATCAACTAATCATACATAATGATTTTTTTATTAATTTTTTAAATGAGCACACTCTTTTTAAATCTTTGATATTATAGAACTTGCTGATCTTAGCAAGATTTTTCAGTGTGTAATTTGGGTTCTATATAATGTCTGCTAGTAGCTGTAATTTGAATTGATAAATATTTTAGTATAAACGTTTAAGAGTACTAAAAAACCTTCAATAAAATTTAGTGATATAAACGCTTCTATGCTAGAAGATCACTATAGCCAGAAATTAATCAGATAACTTAGCTAGAAACTTGTTAGAATCAGATTTTTATTAGCTTCTTTTTTAGTTTATAATAATTCAGGTTACTTATTTTTATATTGAATTTAAATTTAGATTAAGAATTATTATTAGGTAAAATAGAAGGCATATTAATAATCTAGTTATCATATATTGATGATGACTCTATTAATAATTATCTTCAGAGTATGGCAGAATGACTGGTTAGTTGAGACTAATAAGTTTTTAACTTGTAAGAATGTTTTAGGCAAATCAATTATTTTATTCTACTTTTATATCTAGTTTTAAGGATTTCTATATATTAACTTATTAAATTTAAAATTTTATAATAAATATGAGTATTATCACATCTTTAAAAAAAATAATTACAAAAAAATTTAGTTTATTGAATTTATCTCATTCAGACCTATTAAATGATTATATTTTTATATTTTTGAGTTCAATAGATAGCAAGAAATATAATTTTAAAAATTTAATTTTTTTCATAATAATTTATTATATATTTATTTTTAAAATATTACATTTTTTTTTTGAATTTTTACTTAGAAATATCATAAAATTTATAATAAATATATTAATTTTTAAATAAATTATTTTAAAAATGTCTAAAATTATTATAAATAATTTTAATTATTAAATAAAATTGCAGGAAAATTTGCCTGCAAAATGCTTGAAAGGGTAAATAAATATGTAATATTTTTAAACTTTAAATTTAAAAGAAAAGTTAAACGTTTTGCAATAGAAAGAAAGGAAACTACCAAAAAAATTTTTTTACTTTATAAGTTAAATCTTATTTTTTTAGTAAAATAAATTTCAGATTTAATATTATTTTAAAAAAAATTCTTTTGATAATTTTCTTTCCTTTTACTACAAAGTATTTTCTTAAATTATAAAGACTTGTAAATAAATTTACTTTTAAATTACTTATAAATAATAGTAATTTTTAAAAATTTTATTATTATCTTTTGATAATCTTATTAGAATTTATTTATTTTATTATAAAAGTATATAATATATAAATTAATTATATAAAATATAAAATTTATTATAAAAAACAATTTTTATAATTTATTAAAAATTTTATGAGTTTTATTAATAATAAATAATTTAATTAGTATATAAATATATAAATTTTTTTAAAAATATATTTTATAAAATTTGAATTTTAAAATTAAATTATATTAAAAAATTTTTTAAATTAATTTTAATAAAGTTAATATTAAACTATATTTTTATATAATATTTATATACTTACAATTAATATTTTATATTTTATTAAGAAATTAATACTTTTTTATTAAGTTTATAGCTATAGATGAGGGACGAAACTCCTTAATAACAGTCGAAACTTAGACGAAACTATATTTAAATCATAATAAGGGATACGACGAAACCCATTCGATACGACGAAAGCCGAAACTGTCGAAACTATATTAAAAACATAGAAAAGGGTATGACGAAATTATTTTGAGGAGGTTTCGGCAGGCATCTATAGTTTTATTTTATTTCAAAATATTTAGTGAAAATAATAACAAAAACAGTGTTAAAAATATAATTTCTTAAATTATATCAATTTTTTAATATTATTAATGTTTACGTGGTGAGAAACTATCAGAAACAAAAGTAACTTTATCCTGATCAAAGAAACAAAGTAAAAAGTAAAAAAGTAATAGTATAATTAAATCGATGAAACAAATTATTTTTGTATTATATAAATATATGCAGTTATGAATGAACTGTTACAAATTTCGTTCGATGCCTTTTTAGAAGGTAATCAGTGCCATACAAACATGTTTGAACAATGAATCTTACTTACCATATGGTAAATGAGTCAAGAATTTCTCGTTCTTAATCAGAATGATGTCGCGAGGTCAAAACTTGCGTTGGCCACTTCTTCTGGCTCGTCAAAGTTTATTGTTATAGTAAAACTTGTTCAACACAGATACTTACATATTTAACTAAAAATCAATACAAAATAATCCTTTAAACTCGGAAAACGCGCGTATTCTCCATTTTTATCTTTTAAGCTATTTTAGAAGCTTGGTTCGTGATTTTGGAGTGACAAACAGACTTTATTGCTCTATATTGCAAGAAGAATGCGAACGTTTCCTAAAACGAATGATAAACATTAGACTTTCTATCTATTACAAGTAGAAAATTGAAAACAAAAGTTGATTTCGTTCAAAGTATTTTATTTTTCAACAATTGCTATTAATAAAATTTTTTAAATATAATTAGAATTAAATGCTATTTTTATATAATTGCGAGATGTGAAACAAACTTTAGAACCTTAATGGTAATTAAATAATGAAATAATGAAATTGAAAATCTTAGTTTTAACCAAATTAAGAAGTTATATTCTAAACGCTGCGGTTAATATTTAAATAGACATTGTAAATCAAACGGGAATGTGGAAAATAAAAAAAAAGGTTAGATCCGTTTAATGCCAAACATAGAAGTTGTGGTATAATGTATGTGGTTGGGTTGTCCATAATAAATTTTTAACTTTTATTATTCATTTGAAACTTTCTTCTTCGTACTATCATAGTACTTTTTTTTTCATTTTTAGTTTGGTTCGGAGAAGGGGCAATCGTCACCGAAGGGAAAAAAAATAACTTCAAAAAAAAAAAAATTTATGTTAAATTTGATAATAAAAAAGAAAAAATTATTAAATATTAGTTTTGAACCCTTTGTATTTTCCGGTTCATTCCCCCAGTTAAACTTATTAATATTGCGGTTGTTCGTTCGACCGGCTTTATTGGTTCTTTTAACGTTTCATTATAAATATCATAAAATTTTTTAAGTTTATTAAAGGAGAAAAGGAAGGCCTTAATAATATAGTTAAATAAATATGTTTAAAATATATTCAATCTTACTACCACCTTTCAATAAGTTTGCGGTTTTTATCCTTTATGGGTTATTATCAGTAGCGTTAATAGCGTTAGCACAGGACACTGAAAATGAAAAGGAAAAGGGAACTACTATATTTAATGGCAAGGTTGAAAATTGTATAGTAGAACCCTTAGAGCCAGTGGAGGAAGCGAATAAGCAAAAAACGATAGGATATGTTCAACTGTTTAGCACAGGTCTACCAAAAATACCATGGAATAATTATGATTATATAAATGTTATTGGTAAGAATAAGAAAACTAATTTATTTCATACAATTTGCGCATATTTAAAAAAATAATTTTGAAACTTAGCATTTCCGAAGGATGGTGATGGCAAAGGGTATAGTATTTATTACCCAAATGATGAAAATAAATTAAAACCCATAGATGATTTGAGAGAATCTAGAACCAAAGCTAAAGCAACTACAAAAGTAAGCATTATATTAAAAATATTTAGTATTAAATTATTCAAATATGATAAAATTTTAATAATAATTATTATAATATAGATTCTTCTTTCAATAAGAAATTATAATGTTGATCAATGGCCGCAAGATGATGATGCCAATTATCAAAGAATTATTACCGACACAATTAAAACTATAAACGATCATGGATTAGATGGTATAGACATTGAATATCCAGGAATGAGAGGAAGCTTTTGTAAAGATGCAAATCCAAATTCAAATCCTAATGATCCTAATAATCCTAATCCTAATGTTTTCATATGGGAGAAAAAATATGACAACAGATTCATCACTTTTTTACAAACCCTTCGAGTGGAATTGGTTGGAAAAACATTAATGTTGACTGTTGGTAGAGATGTAATCGGAAATTTAAAAGAAATTGATTATTTTAACATTGAAACTTATCATAATGCTTTATATCAAAACTTAAAAACGCCGCCAGCAGAAGTTAACTATAAATCATATCCAAATTCTCCATTAGATGTATACAAAAAGGCATATGAAGATTGGCGTAATATTGGGGTTGATAGTAAAAAAATAATTATGGGCGTAGATTTTGGGAATACTTTTCAAATGGTACCTAACAAAATTATTCAACAAATTCAGACTGTTGAATTTCCCAAATCTACCTATGATATTAAGAAGCTAGATATTCAGAATCAAATCCAACAAATCAGAAATTTTTGTCCTAATGATGAATCTAATATATATTCATGGCCATGGAAATATCTTCCAAATATCGTTCTAAATTCAACGGATGATTTTTGTACTATCAATACGACTAATCCCAAATGGACACGTAAATTTGATCCAACAGATAATTCTGGTACTCCATGGCTATATAAGCTTGTTGAACCCCAATTTTCTTTTTATTTATATGTCTCTTATGAAGATATTAGTTCATTACGAAGTAAATTAGAATTTGCAATGACTAATTCAATCGGAGGAATGTCTATATCTGACGTTAGTCATGATGATAACAAAACTACTTTATCAAATTTTATGCAACCAATACGTGGGCTTTCGGTTCCATCATCTGGAAGTTCATCTCCATCGAATGGATCAGGTAATGGAAAATCTAAATCAATTCCTAATGATTCAGCTATTCCTAAGAAAAATAAAGCCGGACTTATCGCCGGATCAGTTATTGGAGTTATATTTGGTCTAGCTTTATTTGGAAGTTGCGCGTACATGTATCGTCAAAAAATTCTTCTTAAATCCGAAGCTGGAGATATTAAAACGAAGGGTGCACATACGACTTCAAAGATTGAAATGGCATCCGAACAATCACCGAATCGATTTGGATCACCGACCACTGTTTTACCAGTTGCATCTGGTCATGTCACTGCAATGTTTGATTTCATTGGTAAAGAAGAGAATGATTTAAGTTTCAAGAAAGGAGATGTTATTGAAGTATTGGAAAAAGGTGATGGCCCAAATGATTGGTGGGTTGGAAGGGTAAATGGAATTGTGGGAGAATTTCCTGGTGAGTTTTAAATTTTAATTTATTTCATTCTTTTGTTTAATCACGTCTTTATATTAATTGAAATTATCAACCACATAGGTAATTATGTCAAAGAGACATAAAGTAATTTAAACAAATCCTTGATTATTAAATATCTATAATTATATGATTCGAACTCTGATCCTCTTATTTATGGATTTATTAAAAAAAAAGAAATATATATATTTATATATAATAATAATAATAATAGAAAATAATCAATGGATATTTTTTTTCATTTCATTTTTTTCTTATGGAAAACTTCTTTTAACTTGTATGTATTATTCCTTGAGAAATCACCTAACTCACTTTTCTAAAATTTAATCATTTTTTTGGTTTACGCGTAATTAGATTTTAGTCATGTGATCTTATCTCGGTCACATGATACCGAAGATGTATTAAAAAAAATTTATTCGATTTTTTTTTGTAATCGACAATAATTAAAATCATAATTTTTAATCTAATCGGAAAGAAACGGACCAAAATGTTTTTTTTGCTGATGATCTTTTTTTTTTCCTTTCAAACAAGAAACACAACAGAGATTTTCAAACAAGATGATTGAAGATGCCAAAAGCAGTTGAATAGACGCCATCTTTCACTCCTAAAATGCGGGTCAAGAGTGCAGATCCTCCTTTTAGCATAAAACGTGGCGTATAACTTTTAGTAGGGAAATACACGGGGAGATTTATGAATAGAGGGCCGAGGAGATAGGAAAACAGCATGATAACATGATCAACAAATGAATTTCCAAAAAGAGTGTAGCGAGGACAAAAGACTGACAAGGGGGTGTTGTTTCTAATTGTTGTGAATAAGAATTTGTCATTGCAGATTTATTTGAAAAACCAATCAATCAATCACAACCGCACACGAAACGTACACACAAACACTAGCACAACACCATCATAAATAAAGAACACCATTGAGTCGCGGAATAAGATTGCCGGGGTACCCCGAAGATTATTCCTTTCTTTAAATTCAATTAAATAGGATTCTGTAACTCTTTTTTGGAATTCCTAAATTCTTTTTTTTTTTCATTTTTGCTAAATATTTTTTGTAAAAAAGGGAAAAAAAAACAAATAAACCACATGACACCGAATGTGTGTGCACATTGCTGTAAACAGTTAAATTACATGCAGCAAATTATAAAATCGATTACAAGGCATGTTCAAATAAATGATTTGCTTTTTTACTCCGTTGTGTTGTTCTGTGTTGCTTTTGTGTGTGTTGTTGCCTTTCTATTGCTTTGTTCTTTTATCTTTTTTATCCTTTTGAGCAAGTAAGGAGGAATAAAGTCAAGTTCTTTGCAAATATGTTTCGGTCTTTCATCTCTCAACCTACCCACCACTTTGCGTTTAACAAGAAACGAACATAAGACAAAAAACAACTTTTTTATTCCGCGAGGGTAAGGGCTGCTGCGGGAACATGAGAGAAGAATACGGAGTTTATTTGGCGGACTTCCGAAATTTTAACCGCAGTAATTTCTAACGAAAAAAAAAACTTTGGGGAAAAGGTTGACTAACAGTACAAAGCTAAATTTTTTTTTCATTTACAAAAGAGAATAAATACTTTATTATTATTGTCATTTTTTCCTTTACATTTGCTAACTATCACCTTTGGAGATTAAAGCCGCCTTTACGACTTTTTCTCAATTTCACTCAGCCCTTTTTTTTTTTCGCCCACAAGCAATTATTTAATAATAATTTAGTTTTTATGTGTGGAGACCAGCCCAACCATATTATCAATATTATCATATTATCGTATAATAAGGGGTCCATCAGCAAATGAAAGTGATAAGCAAGTTTTGTGTCTATACCAGGACATTAGCTATTTGTTGGTATTTGTTCAATGAGTAAAAGATTGCCATATATATAAAATCAAAAAGCGGTGACAAATGAGAACAACAATAAAAAAAAAAAAAAAAAAAGATAAAAAAAAAAGCCCAAAAAAAAATTTTTTTTTTTTGTTCTTTTTTTTTCGTATTAGTATTTTATTTATACTATTGAGGGAAAAAAAAATATATATCTTTCAACAACTCACCATTTATGTATATAGATCCTAACAAGCCTTTTATTCTAACCTTTAATGAGATTAGTGGGATTCTCTTTATGTATATAAATATATATATTACATGTTCGTTGTTTCAAGTACAACCGATAAAATTTTTTTTTATTAATAAAAAAAAAATAAAATATGCAGTTTATGATTGTCAATCAATACATGGTAAGTATATATATTTTTTATTTATATATGTTAGTAATGTATTTTTTTTTTTATGATGATGATATACAACAATATGAAGTATATATATATTTTTATTTTATCTTTTGTGTTCTTTAATACTGTCTTGTTTGTCTACATTTCCGCATGGCTGTGTCGAGTTTGTTGAACCAATAAATCTACTTTTTATGGAATATGATCGCGGGTTGTATACTTACTATAAACTTAATCCCGTGAATTTATTTATAAACTTATTTTAAAATTATTAATTATGACTTGGTCTTTTTCAAAAACTGTATAAATATCCTTCAAACCCCACTTGCTCCCCGAATTTCCGATTAACGGCCTCGTCCTTTAAAATAATTATCGTTATCTCAAAAAAAAAATTTTTTTTAGAATCATCAAATCATTATTCATCCAATCAAATCATTTCATCATATTTCTTTTTACTGTTGATTAGTATTTTTTTTTTTTTTTTTTTCCTTTCCCCACATCGGCTTTTACTAAACACTTGGTCCCGTGATCACAATACAAGTCTGACGTCAAGACTATTACGTAATCACATATAATTACAAATACAGAAAAAAAGCATAAATAGGGCGACCCTATAAAACAAAAATAACCTTTTATTTTTATTTTTTTTTTTTTTTACTCTTTTACGACCTCTTTGTCCTAAACTCTTCAGTGAGGATTAGCCCAATACTACTTACTACTCTTTGTTGTTTATAACTGATTGCTTCTTGTTTTCCCTTTTCATTGAGTATTTTCTGTTGTTGTAACTTTTTCCCCAAAAAAGAAACCGAAAAGAAAAAGAAAAAAAAAAAAAAAGAAAAAGAACGAACGAAACAAAAAATAAAGATTTTTTATACTACCTTTTTTTTTTTTTACCAAACGAAATTTCTATTGTTTACCATGACCCATCAACCTATTCTTCCAAACGGTGATTACCCTTCTTTTGTTCAAGCTGTTGCCGTACCGACGACTCCACTCGGAAATGGAGTCGGAAATGGAGCGTTAATGTATCCTGGCAATAGCATGATGGTCGATGAACAGAGCAGTAGCGTTGCCGATCAAACAAACCAGTCACAACCGCAAAGCGTTGCTGGAATTGTTCCTACATTGCAGTAAGTTGTCGTTCGATAGTTCATGTTTTTGTTTTGAGAGAAAAGGAAAAAAAAAATTTGGGGTTTATTTGTATTTGTTTTTATGTATGCTTTTTCGTAACGTTTTTCTGAAAAAAAAAAAAAAAAAAAATTTGATATATTGATTGTCAAGTGGTTTTTGAGAATGGGAGAGAGTTGTTTAGGTGAAATAATTAAGCCAAATTACAATTTTATCTATATTTATATTGATTTTCTCTATCTCTTTTATCTTGTGCTCCCTCTCGTGAAACGTTTTCACGTGACCTTCCGCTTTTAGAAACATCGTCGCCACTGTCAACCTTGATTGTAAACTTGACCTTAAAACCATTGCCCTTCATGCTAGAAATGCAGAATATAATCCAAAGGTACTACCGCATTGCTATGCGTTGGTAGCATAGACAACTGTGGTATATAGAAAAACTATATCAAAGAATATTTATGCTAAACAAAGTTATACAATGATACCACCACTATCAATCACACATATAATATGTTATTAGCGTTTCGCTGCTGTTATCATGCGCATCCGTGAACCCAAGACGACGGCCCTTATTTTTGCTTCTGGCAAGATGGTTGTCACTGGTGCCAAATCTGAAGACGACTCTAAACTTGCCAGCAGAAAATACGCTCGTATCATTCAGAAACTCGGCTTTGCTGCAAAATTCACCGATTTCAAGATTCAAAACATTGTCGGATCTTGTGATGTGAAATTCCCTATTCGTTTGGAAGGATTGGCTTATTCTCACGGTCACTTCAGTAGTGTGAGTATTGAGAGAAAAAAAAAAGTTGATTTTTTTCTTTTTATGTACAATGCTCGTGATTTCTCACCTCACCTCTTCTCTCGCTTAGTATGAACCGGAATTGTTTCCAGGTCTCATCTATCGTATGGTCAAGCCAAAGATTGTGTTGTTAATATTCGTGTCCGGAAAGATCGTATTAACTGGTGCCAAAGTAAGTGGAACTTAACCTTCCAATGTTTGATGAACGAATGTGTATGGTCTGGTGTACGACGTTTTCAACGAAAATCTTGATCATCCGAACTTGAAACTGATCTGATGTTCATCCACTTCCATTCAAATTTCTTTGCAGGTACGACAGGAAATTTATGATGCGTTTGAATCCATCTATCCTGTATTGACCGAGTTCAGAAAGCCTTAGTTACGTTCGACTCAAGATATCACAATGAAGAGTTGAAAAACGTAGTTGTGTATCGTATGCTTATTGCTTGTTCATGAGACACAATATCTCTTTTATTATTATTATTATTTTATGGCTTTTAAAACTCCCTTTTTTTCTTTTTCCTTTTTTTTTTTGAAGTCGAGGGAAAATACAGAGCAATTAGTGAACAAAAGATGATGCAAAATCTATCAAAAATTATTCTCTTTTCAGACATTACCTTCACATATCATAGCGGACTAATTCACTTATGAACATTTGTGTTTAATTTTTTTTTCCTTTGCAACATTTTATAAAATCATATTGGGGTCTATCGTGTTGTAATAATACACGACGGATTTTTATTCCTCTTTCCTACAAAACTATTTTTTTTGATTCAATTTATTTCTATATACTTTTTAATTCTTTGCTATATAGCTAATGAATTGGATTGGTGTAATATATATTTCTTTCTTCCTTCCCTAAATAACGCATTTGTACAAATTTTTCTTTTCCCTCTTCCCATCTTTTCCTTTGATTATAATTGTTTCTTTTTCTTTTGTTTTTGCTTGTAAGTGTAAGAAAAGAAAGAAGGTATGATTGCGTAATCAATGGGTTTTTTGTTTGTTTGCCATTTTTTCTTTTTTTTTCGTAAATATTTGCTTTATACATATATATTTTATACATAGTAATGCGATATTAATTTGCGAAACAACACAAAAAAAAAAAGTAATCCTATCTAAATAAGGTAGCGAAAAAAAAAAAAGAAAAAAAAAATTTTTTTCATCATTTTTTTAAAAGTATTATTTTTTATTAGATTAGTTTTCACTTTTTTTTTTTTTTTTTTTTTTTTTTTTTTTTTTTTTTTTTTTTTTTTTTTTTTTGAAAAAAAATAAAAAAAAAAAAAAATTATTTTTATAAAATAATATAAAAAAAAAAAAAAAAAAAAAAATTTTTTTCATCATTTTTTTAAAATTTTTATTTTTTATTAGATTTTTTTTCACTTTTTTTTTTTTTTTTTTTTTTTTTTTTTTTTTTTATATATATATATATTTTTAGGGAAAAAAATTAGAAAAAAAAGAAATTATTATATTAAAATAATATAAATTCAAAAAAAAAAAAATTAAATAAATAAATAAAATTACCAAGCAAAAATTGAAATTCCTATGTGTATGACAGATAATAAAAGAGAAAATGTTCCCTAAGACTTTTTTTTATATACGAATAAAGTAAATTGTAATATAATATATACTCCTTAATGAAAGCCAATAGGACTTTTTGTGCGAATCGTTTTGGATTTGGAGAATTGAATCGATTTGTTTAATCAAAGTATTGTACGATCCGATAGAATGAGTATATTTTTTAAAAAGTTAGATTTAATTATCTTTTTTTCCCGATATAAACTCGTTTTCGGTGGTTAGGTTCATCTTAAAAAAGATTAACTTCATGAATTCATCATTTCTTGATATAAATTCTGAAGAAAAAAAAAAAAGAAAAAAAAATTTATTTTTTCCCCAACTTTCTTTTTTGTATAAATTAAAATATTTAAGTTTCATTTATCCTTAAAAAAGTTTGAACCCTTTATTATGGGAAAAATTAGTTTAAATACTATAAAAAGGTTAAATTTTCAACCACCCGTTCCGAAAAAAAAAATATCTCTGTGTCAAATTCGTAATTTACACGTTAAACCTTTTGTATTGGGTATCAACGAGAATTCTTTTGGGAATAATTCTTTTAAAGTTGGTTGTAGTTTTTTAATTACAAGAAGAATGAGTAGTACTAAGCCCGCTGCCGAGGTTAAAGAAGGTTTACCTTTTAATACCCTAAGATTTTTACCTAAAAGTGGACAAGAGAAAAAGGGTTCCGCTATCATAGTTTTGCAAGAATGGTAAGCGCTTTTCCGTTTTTGTTGGGAATTTTATTTTTTTTGTAACCGATAATTTGATATCTCGATGAAAATAATTTTGAATCACCAATTAAAAAAAAATTTCGTGAAACAAACAAATATTTCCTTCAATAATTTATTGTATCTCAAAAAAAAAATAGGTGGGGCATCAATGAACAAATAAAGATTCACGCTCAAAAGATTGCCGATAATACAAATACTTTAGCCGTTGTTCCTGATCTTTATAAAGGTAAACTTGGCTTAACTCAAGAGGTTGGTATATTCTATTCAATTTTCATGATCTATCTTGTAAAGACGCGCTTTTTACATAACTAATTTGATTGAGAATTACATTATCAGGAAGCAAGTCATTTGATGTCCGTAAGTGATTTCTTCATTAGAAGAATTTTCTTATATTCATCGTACTTAATTCCGAACCTTTGTTAATATGTTATTTTGCTTGATACCGTTGAAAAAGAATTTGGATTGGAAGGAATCGTTAGTAGAATTAGAGGTTCTTGTTGATTCATTGAGAAAAGAAAATCGAGAGTGGGTCTCAAACCAATTTAATCCTTGTGAAAAAATGATTGTCAACATGATTGATTCAATAATCACCTATTTTTTGTTTTAGAAAAATTGGTTCCATTGGATTTTGCATGGGAGGTGAATTTCATTAAACAAGAGTCGATTGTTTTCACCCCTGCGCAAGTGGCAAATTTATTTTAAACTTTTTTTTTTGTATTTTAGGGGCCATGAGCCTTGCTCTTGCATCACAATTGGCGGCAAAAAAACCTTTAAGCGCTGTTGTTACTTGCTATGGTGTTCCATCACCAACGATTTGTGACGTATCTGTTATTGCTTTAAAATCTCCTGTGCAGGTAGGTACCGTGTTCGAATATGGTTTTTTAATAAAATCAAAAACTTTCCCAGTCATTGATTTTAAATCTTGTTTAGGGACATTTCGGAAGCGAAGATAAACATGCCGGATTCAGCGATCAAAATGCTGGTATGCAATTACTCAAAGTCTAATAATCGTCTCGTCGTTTACTATTTGTATAAAACTTCTTTAAATACTTTTATTCTTATTTTAGCCAAGTCGCTTGAAAGAAATCTTGAAGAAGGAATAGAAAGAATGGATGCAGCAGGAAAAGAAATTACAATCTATAGATATGATGGAGAAGATCATGGATTTTTAAATAATGAAGAACGTGCGTTGAAGATGCGTAAAGAACAAGGTTTTCTTGATGTTAATGTTAAAAGTCAAGAGTTGGCATGGAATAGAATTTTTGAGTTTTTCAATAAATATTTGTAAAATATCACGGGTACACGTAACTTTTTAGGACTAAAAAAAATTGCATTCCATGATTTATAGTAAATATAATTATTTGTTATTTTTTACATAATAAACACGCATATATTCTCAGTCGAATAATCACAAATAATCTTTTGTAAGGGAGTTGAGATTTCCCATCACATGAAAAAATCAGTTGGTCGTGAAGTTGTCACGCACCGTTATTTACATTTTTCGCATAATTAGTATCAACTAGGTCAGATCTTCGTGATTGGTTCATGATTTTATTCAAATATAACCTTGATCAACATTAATTAATTATTTCCGAGAACACAAATTCCAATTGTGAACCTAAAATTTTAATATGAGCAACAGGCTTGACTTGGTCAATATAGGCAAATTAAAAATATTAAAAAATCGAAAGATAATAAGTTCAATTTATATATGTTTGATATGCATAATTAATTGTTTGCTTTGGATCGATTGAATTAACTAAAATAATAAGCCAATAAATACTCTTTTGTGAATAAGTTGATTTTTTTTAGTAAAATTTAACGATTCACAATATTTTAATTAAGATAGTGAAACAAAGATTAATCAAACTATACTAACTTGATGATGATGATTTAATTAATTTCAAATACGTTCTTTTTTTATATTTTTAAAAAATAGTGCTATAGAATATATAATTAAATCTATTTTTATATATTATATAATTCTAAAAAAAGATTTTCTATTGTATTTTTTAAAGTGTATTTTTATTACTTTTTTATTATAACTTTTTTTTTTTTTAAACAAAATTCTTTTTTATCAATTGTATTAATATATCTTTAACAATTGATTTAATGTAAAATTAGTAAATATAATTTATATTTATTATAATACATAATCTGTTATTATTATAATAATTATAATATTATTTAATTTATATTATTTTTTAAATTAATTTACCATCTAAATAAAAATATTAATATTATTAAAAGAAAAAAATATTAAAAATTTTTAAATAATATATTTACTTTAAAATTAATAATAATTAAATATGATGAACTAAATAGTTTATTTTAAAATTTTAAAAAAAAAATTAATAAGTTTTAAATCTTTAAGATCAATAAATTCAGATAATTGATTCTAAAACTTAAAAATTTTTAAATAAATATTTTTTAAAATTTTATCAAAAATCTTTATTATATTATTAATATTACTTAAAAATTATAAAGTATTTTTGTAAAATGATATAATATGAAAAAATATAGCATTATGAATTTAAAATATTTAATTATACAAATAAATATTTATAATATCTTAATAGTTTTAAACAAATTTGCCTGCAATAATATTTAATAATAAAATCATTTTTAATTTTCAAAATATTTTTAAAATAATTTATAAATTATTATAAAAATTCATATATTTTATTATTTATGGGTTTAAAAATATTTTTTAATGGGTCTTATTAAAAGAAATTCAATTTATTTATTAAATAATAAGTTATTTTTAAAATTAAAATTAATATATAATAATAATTGTTAACTATTAAATACATTTTAATATAACAAATCTTCCTGTCAAACTTATCTTTTCCTGTTTTTCAGCTAATAAATTTATTTATCTTTTAATTACTAATTCGCTGATTAATCAGAGCAGATTTATATGATAAATTTGAGATGATCAACATATGATAATCTTTAATACGTAATAATCACATGATACGTAAAGCACCAAAGTAACTTATATCAGGAAAAAATTTGACAGAACGATAAACTGAATCTGAAAGTTTTGATTTAGTCATTTATAAAATTTTTTCGTCTCCTATTTAAAAACTTTTATATGGAAAAAACGGAAATTTGAGTAGATCAAAATATAGTAAAATTAAAAATTTTATCGATTTATATTATAAAAATATTATCTTTTCTACTGCTTACAACTATTTTTACTATTACCACCATTTTCAATTCTTTTATTAGCTTCACTTATTACTCTTTATTCTGCTGATTCTTTGTGTAAGCTTGCGAAATATCTTGTAATCTAACCTTCAATTATTTTTATTTTAGATACTTCGTCTTTTTGAATTTCACCTTCTGCTACTAATTCATTTAACTCTAAAACCATCTCTTTTGCAGATATTCAGTTTGTTTTATTCACATTTTCTGCTAAAAAAAACCCCTTTAAATAAACTTTTATTATTGCTGTTATACGTTTTCTACTACTCTTTTGATCATATTTCTGGTTACTCATGAGCGCCTACCCATTTTCTAACTGAAATTTATTGCTTATGTCTATAATAATAGAGTAACTATAATTTGTAGAGAAAAACTTATATTATTATCAAAGCAGTCTGGCTGTACCTATTTGTAGAACAGATTTAGGTATTATTTCTAATTTTTAACATACTTTTATTTATTTTATCTGTAAAAGAAAAAAATTGATTATTTTTTATTATCTTTGAATAAACATAAATATAATAAATATATTTTCATCTATAACATACCTTTAATCTGAATTATAGGAAAATTCTATAGCAAATTTGGTTTGATATATGTAGAAATATCAGGAGTTAGCTTGTGCAAGGATTCATCAATTAATTTTGAGATGTTGGTTGAAGAGTAACGTGACCATTTACTTATATGTAATAAAGTTTGAGCTTAAATATATCTGATAAATAGATCTTCAATTAGCCATTCAAAATATGATAATTTGGTAATGCTAGATATAGTTTTAATAGGCACATAATTTTGTTTTGGTTCTAGATGAGCAACAGAAATTCTGTTAAGATTCTTTATCGCATCTTCTATTTTCTTATCATTATCTAAATTATACTTAACTCTTACGTATCTCTTAATAGAATGAGCTATCTAAAAGGAAATTGGTATTGATAATTTATCGTTATATAGTGTTTTGTGGATGAAATCAATATTTTATCAAATAAACCATAACTTACTTGTGCATGATGCAAATTAACACTAGATTTTGCCTCCTCAGGTTCGAAAAAATGCCATTCACAAATATAAATTTTATACTATTGATTCTAATTTACAACAATAGTCATTAATTCTGAATTGTGATAATGATCACCATTATCAGAAAAAATTTTGATTCACTTCAGTTTCAGATTTAATGTTTTGAAAACAGCATCAATAGATGATATAATAAACTAAGCATCTTACTTAGTATCAGTAGACCAGTAGTCAAATGCTTGTACATTTAGTTGTGAAGCATTACATTTTGTAAAAACCAAAATCGTATGAAGCGTCCAGCCACGCTTTTTAAAGAACTGCTCCTTGGTTTCACAAGCACTTTTAGGTAAGATTCTCATTTTGTAATCACATACTAGAATTGCGTTATCATCATCAAGTTCTAAAAGTTTTGCTTTAAATTGATTATTTAGATAGACTTTTCTTATCTGGTGAGCAAAAAAATAATAAAATTTATTACGTGATTCTTTGATTGTAGTTTGAAAATTCTCTGAAAATACCATAATTAAATATTCAAAAAGTATAAATAATTGATCATACATAGCATAACAGCTCTTATGTTCTTGTGTACGCTCTCCAAATATGTATAATAAGAGTGGTTAATTGTATCCGTATGTGATACTGTACCATCTTCATTTACAATAAGTGTATTTTTGAAACCTCATTTTAGATGATAGCGTAATTTTTCAAGTTCATTTATTAGTGAATTCTTGAGTTTTTGAGATTTTTATTTTTATTTTTTAAAAAAAAAATAATAAATGATATTTATTTACAATTTTTTTATAAATAATAAATTCAAACAAAATTTTGTTACATAATATTTTTATTATAAACCTATGATTCCTTTTCTATATATAATCATATCAAACTAATTAATATATCAAATACTTCATAATAATATTCATTGCAAATATTACATAGCCCATCCAAATCTTTTCGATATACATATCGATCACTTACCAAACGTGTCTTAAAAGAGGTTCTTTTTATTCCATCAGGATAAGCTGCCTCGAATTTTTGCCATAGAGTTTCTTTACTATCTTTTAGATATAGTAATAGTAGATTAGTTTTTGAGATAATATGATAAGAGCTCATTGTAACATTTTCTTTGTCAGAAAAAAAGCTCTCAAATTCTCTATCTTTTATTCAGAAATACAATTTTGTGTTACAACTAGTTTGATTTTGCAGAACACCCTGAACCATTTATGTGACTATATTTCATTAAAGCACTAATTAAATCATTTAAAATCTAAAAAGAAATTGTAGCAAGTTTATTTTATTTATGAAATAATAAATGGCATTATATTTAAACTTACTTGTAATTTTTTTTGTATTTCTCTAAATCAAAACTTTTTCATTATAATAGAAAGAATTCATTATTTTCTATCTAATCTGCATTTATTAGCTTTGATTACTTGTTTAAAATATTGCCAGAATTTATCAATGATTATTTTCAATTGATTATTTTCTTTTATAAATTCAACTTCATTATTATAAACACTATTTAGCAAATTCTTTGAACAAGTATAGAAGTGTGATACTGTTACTATTAAAATTCATCATGCACGTCTAAAATTCAGGCTATAATAATAAAAGTTCAATTTTTTAACTATGTGATTATATTAGATGCAAAATTTTATGGTTAATTCCAAAAACCCTTATCTTTGATTTTTGCTTTTTATAAGGTATTATATTTGTATAACCTACGCTTTTTGTCATCTTTCTCTAAGTACATAACTCCTGATCATTAAATTCATAATTTGACAGATATAGTGGTTTAAGATACATTATAAATTCTATAATATTTGATTCTTGTTCTTTCTATTTCAATAAAAAACTTATGCTAATTAAGATCAAGAATAGTAGTTTGACATTTTAGATGCTGCTCGAATGCTTGAATCATTATTTCAATATTATCCTATTCATTCATACTACATATTGGTGATTTTGCATAAATTTTCAATGTATTGACTGTAGTAGAATGCTCAATTCCAAATAAAATACTACCATCATAATTTTTCAAT